GGGCAGGAGGAGAAGCGGGAGGACAAACGGGAGGAGGAGGAGCCAGGGGCAGGAGGAGGAGCGGGAGGACAAACAGGAGGAGGAGGAGGAGCCGGGGGCAGGAGGAGGAGCGGGAGGACAAACGGGAGGGGGAGGAGCCAGGGGCAGGAGGAGAAGCCGGAGGACAAACGGGAGGGAGGAGGAGAAGCGGGAGGACAAAGGAGGAGGAGAAGCGCAGAGGGGGTTGTTTTGTTTGCTTGTAGGGCCGCTGGAGATGGGAGTGAACAGGTGAGAACCTGGGACTCACCTGGCCAGTCATATCTCCACCTCCCAGGCCACTGTGCTGGTCTGGGAGACATCAGAGGGAGGCAGTCATTTCCCAGGTGGCCAGCTGTCTGGTGTCCCAAGAGGGGGATCCCCTTCACTGCTCCTTGAGGTCGGTTGCTCCCTGTTCTGGGAAGCTCTCGTGTATTTTTGTAGACCCTTTCGTTACTCAGGTATCACGGCCAACTGTTCCTTGTTCTTGTGGAGGTGTGTGAATTCTTATCGGAGCAGTTTTGACCCCGGCCTAGTCTCGGAAGACAGCAAGGAGGACGGACACAGGAGTCGTTACCCTCACCCTGTGAGAAGCCACGGGAAGGAAGAACGGACCAGGGACCGGGTGGGGAGCCCCGCGGGGACTGTGCTTGAAGCTCCATCCCAGCTGTTGTTTGTGACTCAGTTTCCTCGACATGGTGATGTGTGCTCTGCTGTGTTTTCCAGTGTTCTTCTGTGACTCTCCCATGGGGCCATGGGGCAGGGCCATGTCCCAGTGGGTGGGCCAGGGAGGGGTCTCCTGAAGTGAGTGGACATAGGCAGAGTCCATCGTCCTGACAGGAAACAGAGCCTGGGGCCCCTGGGCAGGGAGAAGTGGGGAGGGCCGCAGTGGGGTAGGGGCGGCTGAGGTTCCTCGTTCGGGACCCTGGGAGGAGGGAGGTCCTGTGGCCTCTAGTGATGGTTATACGTTCCTTCGGTTGTGATTCCCTTCCCTTCAACGGTTCCAGTTAGGTGATTTTCTTCAATAAATCTCGTTGAGTGTTTCTGCTGAGTCTGGGCTCTGCTGTGGGCAATGGAGGGGAGGACCTGCTGGGGGCGGTGGCGGTGGCCTGTGTTCAGCTGACAGCTGCAGCTGACAGACCACTGGGGACCTGAGGAGTGTGTGTGATGCCCACTGACCCGCGGGACAGGCCAGGCTTCCTCAGCGCTGGTGAAATGGCAGGGGCAGCTGCCCTGTGTCCCGAGTCCTGCCTGGGGTGCCCCAGAGGGCAGGGAACCCCCTGCCCGGCCAGCTCTGAGGAGCATCCTCCCAGCCCTTGGGACCAGGCAGGAGGCATCAGGCCATGGGTGGGGGTGGCCCCTGGGTGCTAGGGGCCAGGCTGTGTCCCCGTGGCCAGCTGAACCATCGGTGCCACCCTGAGGAGCCCCCAAGTAGAAGGCCCTCTGGAGCACAGTGGCCCGAACAAGGGGCAGTTCTGGGGGGCGTGGTGAGGGATGAGGAGCTGGATCAGCAGCCAGCTTCAACCTCTAAGACCTGCTCTCTCACCCCCGGGGCTGGGAACCTCCCCAGGGGAGGGCAAGCCTCAGCCCCCTGGAGCGGACTGGGACCTCTGGGAGAAGGGAGCAGCGACCAGCCACCTGCATGTGTGAGGGAGAAGCACTGTTGAGCCCGACACGGGGTTGTCCCTGGGGCCAGGCTCCGTCTGTGCCCACAGGCATCCTCCAGCCCCTCTGAAGCTGCAGAGGAAGGACAGAGCCCTCACAGCAGCCCAGGAGCCACGGTGCAAATGCTCAGGCTGGCCGGGGACCGGGGGCTGCGGTCACACTGCCGTTGCTGACTGGTCTGAGGGGCCCTGGGGAGAGCTCCGACGGTAGGGCTGCAGGGGGAGGGCCAGCGGGGCCCTGGACACACCCAGGACAGTAAGGAACAGGGAGGGGGTGGCAGGTCCTCAGCCAGGAAGGCGGCCTCCTTGGCTGAGGGGGCTTGGCCGCGTGTCCCTTCAGGATGCAGTGCAGGAAGACGCTGAGCTGCCTGCTCGGTGCCAGGCCTGTCTGCCCAATCTGCGAGGGCCCCTCAGGCTGTGGGGGCAGGACGAGAGGAAAGGGACGGGAGAGCCCATCTTAGCTCTCCGTCCACAACAAGGGTCTGTCTGCACCCTGCCCCGTCACTTGTTCGCGTCCGCTGGGTGCAGTGTTCCGCCACGGGGTGTGAGTATGTGTGAGTGTGTGCACGACAGTGAGGGTGTGTGTGTGAGTCTGTGGGGGTGTGTGTGAGTGGATTTATGTGTGACTGTGTGTCCGTGAGTGAGTGTGCGTGTACGTGCTGGCTGGTTGGTGGTTTCCGACTCTTTCAGGGCATCACTAAGGGGCGGGTGGGAGGAAGGCACAGGTGGCACCAGGCCCCCTCCCCCCACACGCACAGGAGGAGACCTGCAGCCCCACCCAGGCTGGGCCCCTGCCCACTCATCCCGGGGGGTGGCGGGGGGTGATGCAGGCGGTCCCTCTGCACAGTCCCCACTGCACACAGTGCTGGGTCTGGGACACAAAGGCCCATGGAGGGCTTCCTGGGTTCCTGGGGCCTCAGAGAGCAGCCCACCACTGCTGCTTACTTCCGGGGGCCCCCAGGCTCACACAGGGCAGGTGGTCAGGCCCCAGGAGCAAGCTCTGCCTAGGTGGTCTCCCTTTTCCCTTTGCCCATCTGAGAGGGCCCTGCCCAGAAGCTGTCTGCTCCTCTGCTGCCACAGGACCCTGGGGCAGGTCCAGAGTGGAGGCGGCCTTCCAGAAGGCTCCGGGTCCGGGCCACACTCTGCTTAAGACCCGTGTCATTTGGGGCTCACCTTCCTCCAGACCCCGTGCCCTCCTCCTGGGGCTTGGAGCGGGGCCTGTCTCCCAGTCCTGCTGTCCCCACACACGGCTGTCCTTCCCTGAGCACTTCTGTTCCCAGCACACCGGTAGCCCTGTGCCAGGCCCCAGCTGTCCCCTGACAATACTGAACTTTACCGGAGCCTGTGATGCTGGAAAACAGGGACAATTCAGAAATCATCCC